TTATATAAAAATAAATAAATTAATATTTATTTATTTATTTATTTTGGTATTAACCTCTCGGTATTCGACAACCATATTAGGTCCCGATCAATTCGGAATCGAGTCGCGTTGAACCCCATTAGGAGGAAAGCTCTCCCAGCGCTTCTGTTTCTCCATTTATAAGACTTGAACTTGAGATCTTGTTTAAAGGGAATCGATCTCCTTCCACTTAGACCAATATGTCGTTGGTAAAATTAATATTTATTTTAACATTATTAATACTTAGATAATTTTAATTAATTAAAATCAACATTTATATTTAAAAAAATAATTATAAAAAATATATTAATTACATGTTTTACTTATATCCTAAAAACATAAGATTAAAAAACTGTTATATTTAGAATATTAAATGATATACAAGATATCTCATTGCATTATTAATTTTTTTCCTGAGGCCAAGACTTGGCCCTTCTTCGGTCCGCCCCTCAGACTTGGTAACAGCAACAGTGGGAATAGTCCGCCCCTCGGACCGTTAATGACGGGATTCCTTCCGCATAAATAGCAGAGTTCAGGGCTTGTAAGTCTAAAAAGAAGTCTAAAAAGATAGTTTAGCGTCGAAGAATAGGATAGGTTCAAGAGCTTAAGATTTGCCACTATAAATTAATGTGCAACCAAAATTAAAAATCATCCGTTCATCAAAAGAAATAAAAATAAAATCATCCGTTATCAAAGAAAAAAATTAAAATCATCTAAATATCTAATCTTCCGCACAATATTTAAACCATAATCATGATTGCTAAAAAGAGAAGAAATTTTCACGAACCATAGTTATCTCCAAGAATTGAAAGCCATTTTTCAAACTTTTCCAGTCTTCACGTTGCACAACAGTAGCACAAGACCTGTAAAAGCTATATTATTATTATAGTGGGGCAAAAGGACAATATAAGCGCAGATTAAATTGACTTTAAAGCACAAGGACCAAAAAGACATCCAAGTCTTGGCGAATGCGCTCGAGTGATCATGATCGAAATACAAAAGTAGGATACTTTAAATTAATTACTCGGAATCTTTATCTTTAGTGTAACTTC